GTCATACCTTTCATAAGCCATGAGTAGTATGACTCAGTGTAACAAAAAATGATTTTGCAGCCAGCGTCTGTGTCATTAAGGCAATTTTTACGGACTGAAATACTTGAATAAAATTTTTAATGGAAGTCAACAATGCAAAGGCTTTCTACAATGTTAAAAGTTGAGGTTTGAGTGGTTAGAATTGTCTGTTTCGTGTGGTGCATAGCATGAACAAACTCTGCATAGAGTTTATAACCTTGTTTGATTTCCCCTGCTTACAGGTCATTCCTCTCTTTCTTGGATCATGAGGGTCCAGATTGCACTTGATGCTGCTAGGGGCCTTGAATACATACATGAGCACACCAAAACCCATTACATCCATCGAGATATCAAAACAAGCAACATTTTACTAGATGCTTCTTTCAGAGCAAAGGTAACAATAAATTTAAATATTGTTGAATCATTTCTAACTATTTTGTGCACTTTTTGTTTCGGCTAATGTGTCCTTTCTTTCTTTATCTAGATTTCAGATTTTGGGCTAGCAAAACTTGTTGGGACAACAAATGAAGGTGAAATTGCTACCACCAGAGTAATTGGTACATATGGTTATCTTGCTCCTGAGTAAGTGATGTCCATCAATTTTTTTCCAGTTCATTCTTCTGGGAAAAAAGAAGATTAAAAAATTATATGTTTATTTATTTCCTTCGTTTGGCAGATACTTGAGCGATGGCCTTGCGACATCCAAAAGTGATGTCTATGCATTTGGTGTTGTTCTCTTTGAGATCATATCTGGGAGGGAGGCCATCATTCGAACAGAAGGCACAATGACAAAAAATCCAGAAAGACGTTCATTGGCATCTATTGTAAGTTAGGGTTATGTGACATGAATTTAAATACAACGGCACGTGTGGCGCAGTTCAGTATGCTTATACTTCTACATTGCTTCAAAGTAAAATGTTGCAAGAGCTTGTCTTGCTTTAGTAACTATTGTGATGATTTTGCTGCATCAGCACTGATGTCACAAAATTCACAATGATGACAGGCTGGTATGGCTTGATTTTGGGATAGTTATATTTGTAGTGCAATTATACCCGCTAAGATATGTTGTTGACATTGCAATTCTAAAAATTGAACAAACATGTATAATATGATTTATCATCATGTAATAATTGTAACAAACTGTTCATGTCAACTTGTTCAGATTATCAGGTTGTGTTGTTGTATGATGAACATACAAATCATGGAGGGCAGTGTGTTAAATTGACTATATTTGTGCCATGTGTCAATAACCTTTGTAAGAGAAAACTGTGTGATAGATTGCATTGTGCCATGTCCTGACATATCTCATCTGGAATGTGATAATTTCAGTTTCAGTGCAATATATCTTTGACTGATTTAATCTATGATTGCATATCCCTGTGCTCGATGGTTGCAACTGTTATCTGGGGCATTGCACTAACATCCATCACTAAATTGCAGATGCTGGCAACCCTTAGAAACACACCCGGTTCCTTGAGCATGTCAAATATGAGAGATTATATTGATCCCAACATGATGGATCTTTATCCTCATGATTGTGTATACAAGGTAAGTTTCTCCATTTCCTCCTATATTTGCCTATTGTTGGAAGAACGAGCGTAGCCTAATTGCTACTTGCTACATTCGTTGCTGATTTCTCATGTGATCAATATTGTCAATGCTGAAAAACCAACTTCCTGTGTTCTGAAATCGCTTTTTGGTCTTAAATATAAAAATTACTTAGAGGTTGGATTTGGCCTTAAATATAAGACATCAATCCATTTTGTCTCTCAAATTTATAATTTTTTCCCAAAATAAACTTATTGATTATTCATATTAAAAGGTTCCAATCAAGGGGTAGTTCTGCGTATAATTAAAGATGATAGCCTAGGAAAGTTGACACATTTGTTACAAATATTCAGCTTAACTGATTTCCTTAATATGACCAAATTAATTATCTAGTTTTTATATTAAAGACTGAAAGGTAGTATTTGCTATCAGATTCTTAAATTAAAACATGATGAAAGAAGATTTTTTTGAATTATCCAATTGCATGGTAGTCTGATGGAAGACACTTGAAAACTTGGGCTGTGTCCTGAAAGAAATTCCGTTGATGTTTGACTGTAGTGTGACCCGATCTTCATTTGTTCCTTTTGTGTTTTCTGATTTTTGATGCATAGATGGCGATGCTGGCGAAGCAATGTGTGGACGACGATCCCATCTTGCGGCCTGATATGAAACAAGTTGTGATTTCCCTCTCACAGATTCTCTTGTCTTCTATTGAGTGGGAAGCAACTCTTGCCGGGAACAGCCAGGTTTTCAGTGGGCTTGTGCAGGGAAGATAGATAAAGAGCAAGATCTGTTTCATTCACTGCATTCAACACGATTCTTTTTCCATTATCCTGATTTTTACCTTTCTTAGGTTTGATAGTTTTGTATTCATAGGAACATAGACTTGTCCAAGAACTGGTGGGTTAATATCTCTCTTTTGCCATTTGTTTGAGTTGTTTCAAAGTACCAATCTTCATTTTGTTAAAAGTGCAATTTAGTGTGTAGAAAATTTTGGACCTGAGTTAGAATATGTGGTGATGGAGCTGGGTAAGGATTTTGCAGTTCTGTAATTTGCATTGATATATTCTCAAATTGATTCATTGCTTTCTTCTTGTACTAACATTTTTGGAAAGGCATTTCAGAAGGGAATTTCAGCAAAATGCGTTGTTGACTTCTATCTTTACCTATGTTTTAAAACTTCTTATTATGAAATTAGCTTATTTGCATTTTACAAATTAAACTTAAAAATATCTCTTGATATTAGAAAATAAACTCAGTTCATAGGCAATTTTAAAAAGAACTTAAAAGAACTTACAACTTAAAGCTTAAGAAAGATTCAAGGGAAATGTTGTTCACGGTTTATGGATAATGAAATTTTTATACATTTTATATCATATATGGGTTTTAGTTATATTGAAATATTTCTAAAAATGTAAACAGATTGAAAATGACAGGAGATGGATTCCACATAATTCGAAGCCTAACATTATCTATTTATTTATCTTCCCTATAAATCCTCTTTTGTTTTCAAGGTAATTAAAAAACCATAACTTTTACGTGAAAAATGAGGTCCTTTTTTTTTTTTTTTTGGGTTTTCAATTGCATTGGGCGAGCTAAGGCTTTTTTGGGGGGAAAATACTATCACTCATGTTTGTACTAAGCAGGGAACAAAACCATCATTTTGTAGTGAAATCAAGCAAACAAGAGATCAAGATTATGATTGATTTTAAAAAAAATCTGTTTGAATTGTACTCATGACTTAACAAGGATTATTTTTTGGGTTAAGATGTAAACTTGTTTTAAAAGTTTTCACTTAGAAATTTTGGATATTCGAAAAATTTTTTTGAGAGCAAATTTATTTTGAAAATTTGAAATAAGAAATATTACTTATTATCACTGAAAGTGTTAACTATCAGCATCACTTTTTTGATAGTAAGAGGTAATATTATTATGATTTTAAATTTTCGAAACACATTTACTTTAAAAATTTTTTTTGAATACCTAAAGCTTCTAAATGAAAACTTTTGAATCAAATTTACATCTGAACATTTTTTTTCCCCTTCTAATGATTATTTGATATGAATTACCAAGCCTCTGGCCCGTTCGATCCTGTTCCTAAAACGCCATGTCGTTTGCTTACAGACTCCAAATTAAACGGCTAACATGGGAAGTGGGAATTGAAAATAGCCTCACTTCTTGAAATTGCACAGGAGAAGCCCGCCTCTCCAAATCCGACAATAAATTCAAAAATCCTCGACGGAGCGAAGTCGCGGGGAGAGAGAGAGAGATGCCTCTGAATGAAGTGAACGTGAAGTCGGAGAGGAAGCCGCTCAGGAATGTAACAAACAACTATGGTCGGCGATCCTTCAAATCTGCGAACGTGAAGACGGTATCTCAGAAGCAAAAGGAAGAGACTGCTAAAGAAGAGAAAGAAGATGACGACGTGCTCGATCGCATTCTTCTTGTTCAGTCCGATATTTCGTCTATTCTTCATCAGGTGTCTGTTCAATCCAATTGTAGTTTTTTAGTTGGTTCTCTAGATTTACAAGCGGTCAGAAATAAATTTCCGTCGTTTTTGAAGCAACCAAGTCATTAGGACTTATGGTGGCTTTGTTTACTGCAATTCTAGGGCAACGTAATATTACTTAGTTGACCTAGTTTGACGGATATGAAGTTTTCATGTTGAGAAGAGAACATAGGCATGTTTCTAGTTGGAATTTTCGGTTATAGAGAAATACTTTTTTAATTTTGGATTTCATTTTCTTCCTAGCCGACTACTCTTATTACACTCCTATTACAACAGCCACTTGAATAGAGTATATATTGAAACAGACTGGCTAGCTTGCTTTTTTTGGGTGACGCTAGCTAGCTTGCTTTGTTATCCAAAATTTTCTATTTGTCCAACCAGATGGATACTAGATTCGTTTGTTGAATATGTGGTTTCAAGGTTTTATACTATGGGCTAAGAATTTTGCCTTTATTTTATTTCAATAAGAATTTTCAGAAGTGCAGGAAAATTTCTTTATGAATTAATGAATTGAATGGCAGATTGATGAGCTTGTCGCCCAAGCATTTAGACTCGAGACCACGGGCAAAGAGGGGAGAAAAGAGATTGAATCTTTCTCGCATGTGTTGTCTGACATGCTATCATCCTTAAAGGTCAATGCTCTATATTCGTTTCATGCTTGAGTAGTCCGTTTTCACTACTTATTGATGAGTGTTTTTTCTGATTACAGCCATGGGAGGCCAGGTTCCAGATGGCACTATCTACGACCTTCGAAGAGTCTGAAAGTCAGCCTCAACAGGTTTTGGCTAAAAATCCAGTGTCTAACGAGGTCAGAGATGAAAGTAAAGTCAGTGACAGTCCTGGGGAGGCCAGGTTGGACTTTCTGGTTTCTCCATCTCCTCTCGTATCCTGGCGGGCTAACTGTACCATTGAGAGAGGTAGACAAATGTTTATGCTCACGCCACTTCCTATATCAAAAGCATTATCATGCAAACGTCAGGAGCCACCTAAATCGGAGTTCAATAGGTTATCTTCCTCTACTTATGCTTGTGGGACATCAAATATTTTTGCCTTATCTGGAGATATACCTGACTGCTCGTTTGATGCTGCTGTGGCGAAGCCAACTCCACTCAAACCTTCTGCTCCTGTTGCGATTCAAGAGGCGAACGCTCAAGAAAATGGATTTATTTCTTCTCCGCTTTTTCCTAAAAGAGAAAGCTCCATGCTTGTTATGACACCATGCTTAAAAATGTCACCCCCTAAATCTTGTGTTTTGCTTGAACCCATATCTGAAATCTGTCATCCAGGCAAAGACAATGACAAGGTACGCAAATCCACTCCGTTTCCTGTTGGGATTCATTACAGCGATTCAGAAACTCCTGATTCTTCTGGTGGTGAAGCTTCAAAAGATCTGGCATTGAAGTATCTGGAGCTATTAGGGATACAACATATTTCTAAATCTGCAGCTGGAAAGAAAACAACAGAAGCATCCCCAGATTGGTTTATGTCGCCTCCTAAAACTTGTGTTTTGCTGGAGCCACCTGATGAGAAGCCGTTTGGTTTGGTAAAGGCTGAAAAAGGTTTACAGATGACAGATGCTGTTATTACTAATAAAGAAACTAACAAATTGAAAGACAATGTTTTCGAAGACCATGGTCAAACCAAAAAATCTTGTAACAAAGGTAGTACTTGATCTTCCACTGTTCACACCTTCTGACTTTCTGGGTTGACATGATTTTGGCTTATTTATGTGTTTATTTGTGTAGAACACATTGGTGGCAACTTATCCTCTGTGGAGAGCACTATGTGGCTTGAGCCTGAAAGCTCGTTTCGAGCTGGGAAATGCCCTGGTGAGAATACACTGAAGAAAGAATTGTGGACAAAATTTGAAGCAGCATCTACCAAGGGGCTTCTGAGTAAAACCCCCACAGTCAGCAATATTACTCAAAAAGGATTTCTGGATCTCCTGGAAGAAGCTTCTTGTGAAGATTAAGCACGCTACTAAGATCAATATCTCAGCAAGCAAATAGATTTTTCCCTCATTTGGAATTTGGAAACGAAATTTTTGGCTGTACAGCTCATGTTGTAAGGTTTGGGGCAAAGAGGCCTACTGGCCCTGTGCATTGTGTCTTAATCCCCCACCTAGAAGATAATTTTGCCAGGGGGATGCAGGACACTTGATGTAAGCTGTGTTCTTGTGCTGGTTTTTGTTCCTTCCCTGTTGATGTCAAGAAGAAAGGAATGGAACTATGGGAAGTGTCATCCGTGGAATCTAATGTTGGCCATATCATTAGGCACTTATCTTAAGAATATGAGATGCACTCAACAAGATGCGTCGAACCATGATAGGTGCGATCGTTTGTTTGTCGGATTCGAAATGAAAGCAATGGATGCAGGAAGAATCACACTAATTTCAGTTACTTGAATTATTTTCTATTGTATCTATACAATATGCTATATGTCCATATAACAAACAAATAATAGTTTCAGTGCAAGACGAGCGATCACCTTACTATTTTTCATGGTAATACACATATATTATATTCTTGGATAATTATAAAATTTAACATGTTACTCCCTTCGTTCCTTATTATAAGAGACATTTGATGCTTATAGTATGTTCCTAAATATAAGAGACACTTAAAAGTTGTTTCTATTTTTTTGTGTTGATTTTCTATTTTACCCATATTTATTGTCTTCAACTCATACTCTTTCTCCTTTCCACTTCTCTTTCTTTTAAGAATTTACTATTGTTTTCTCTCATACTCTCTCTCCTTATTAATAAGGGCATTTTTGGAAAAAAAGTTATACTTTTTACATATTAATTATTCTTAATTAATTTTAACTGTTTTTTTAATCAACGTAATTCAGTTATTTGTCTCTTATAATAAGGGATGGAGGGAGTACATTATACTACTTTCAATTTTAATTATAAAAGCTAGTTGACTAATTTAAAGAGATTAAGAAAGTAAGCCGAGTTAGTTATTTGTCTTGTTTTTTCTAAAATATCTTTACTAATTAAGTGTATTGACTAGAATTATCATTGTTAGAAGGATTATTTTGAAAAAAAAATATAAATATAAGAGGCAAAATGGATGGGATTTTATATTTAGGATTAAAATAAAAGTTAAACAGGATTTTATATTAAAGATAGGAGGTAGTAATAAACTTTAGTAAGTTTTTATATCACCCCTACCTGCTTTATAAATAGAGGAATTGAAGTGACCACTTCCTATTTCTAACAAGGAAGCCAATCCGACGTCTGCTTATTTTGCAACACTTTTTTATATGTATATGGATAGATAGATAGATAAATATATAAATATTTATATTTTTACTACTTTGATAGTGACGACAACTAATAATCAACTTAACTATTAACCATGCGGATAAAAATTATAGTGTGCGTTAAAATTGTTTTATTAATTCTTTTTCATAACTAACTTTTAGTTTCATAATAATTACTCCTCTGATTCTTAATATAAGACTCATTTAACTAATTTGATTAGATTAAGGAAGTTAGGTAAATTAGTTAATTATAAAATATATGATATGTTTTTCCTAAAACACCATAATCATCTTTCTTAATATCTCATCTTCCTGTTCTATTTGATTATGGTTGAGGGAGTATCTATATGGGTAATTTAGAGAAAAATAATAAATATAAGAAATGTGTCTTATATTTAGGATCAAAACCAATTCAACAATTAGGTCCTAAGGACTGGAGGAATATAATCTTTATGTCTCTTTGAACTTGAAAATAGAGTGAGGGGAGAAAATCGAGGGATGTGATTTTTCTTCCTTATATTTTTCTCAATAGAAGAAAATAGATGAGAAAAAAGTGATTAATTTCATATAGATTATATTTATTATAAATACTCTTTTATATCATTTTTTTAAAAGAAGTTCAAAATTATGGTCCAGCAGTTCAACTATGAACAACTCAATTTTTAAAATACAAAATCCAAAATTGAGAATGATATTTTCATTAATTTAACTTAGCTTTTATATGCAGGTGTTTGTGAGTTGTACAACTTTCTCGATCAAAATCAACATATTTTCCCCAAAAAAAAAAAAAAGAATCAGAGTCCTTTGAATTTTATCCTGTAACTAAAAATCATACATGTTGGAAGAAATGGAAACTTCTTGCATTCTAACTCTCAAAAGGAATGCCCTTATCAAATAAAAAAAATCACACGTTATTATCTTGATTATTTTTACTAATAATAATAATTAATTAAAAAAGCGGGGATAAAACTAGCCAGTGATCTAGCATGCGCATCAACGTCAAAACATTCCATGCAAAATGCAATTATTGTAAATTGTCTTGTACTCATGTTTTTCCCCCCTCAAGACTTTCAATTGCTGATCTTGTAAATGGTGTGTTTAATAAAGCGTCGAATAAGGATATCCTCTGGCAGATTTTTACGTCATATGAAAAGCTGCAGTTTAGAGCTGAACTCAGAAATCAGAAATCAGAAATCTAAAAGGCCTGTTCTACCATTTACAGAACCTTCAATGACATTAAATAACAAGGTTCACTCAACAACGATGGGGACTGTTACAGAGAAGAAATATCAATAATCAATAGAGAAACTATACTTATGAGGAGCTAAATATGGAAATTTAATCTCCCAGTTACCAGTTGCCTCCACATTTCCTGCAACCTATTTGTCAAAACTTCTGATTTTTCCCTTCAGAACCGTAATATCCAGATATTGATGATAGAGAGCCCTGCATTACACGTGCTTGAACTTTGAAGTTAACTAAAGAAACGTACAGGGGCTCACAAATTTCTTTCATACTTTCTATTTGTCATTGATGAAATCAGCGTATCAGGTAGGTAAAGAGGAACAACCAGAAGAAATAAAGGCAAAAACAATATCTCGGTTTAGTTTTGAACTAATAAGCAAATAGCCTATTGGAACTCAGGGGCTCTTGGTTTCTATAACAGACAACTCCTATACTTGTGAAAGGGGATTAAAAATTAATTAGTTTCATTTCTAGCTTCACACTAACCCACTCTAGACTACAAATGGATGCAAATATAGTTAACTAACATGCTTGAATGACAAATGGACGAATAAAGCTGCATTTATAATTGCGTCTTCTTAGTTTGGCGAGGGAAAATGCTGTGAAGTCCCCTAAGCCTACAGTTAATCATCTTCACTGGCATTTCATCTCGAATATATCAAGTATTACGCTTCCATATGAATAAAGATGACTGTAGATGTTTCAAGTCCATCTCAACTTCAAAATAATTTGCATCTTTGCTGCTGATAAAAAGAGAATAACCATTAATCTACTGAGATATAGCCTCGTGTAAAGTTCCTTACACATTTGATTGACTGGAACTTATGGCTCAGATTTAACAAGCTCTTCCACAGACTTCCGGTAATTAGCAATCAAGTCTCTGTATGTCGAAAAAAAGGGGGAGGCATGTATTTAGTTTACAGAATCTCAAGCAAACAAAGACGTATGAAACAACTACTACTACTAACCTTCGCTGATTTAGCAATTGCTAACTTTCGTCTAGCTTCTTCTTCTGTCCCTCAACTGTCTGTGTTAAGCATCCAGAAAGTCCTAATTTTAGATCAAGAATACTTCCACTGACTAAAAGAATATTAGCTGAAGATTTAAACCTTCTGTTGGTTTTAACAGCCGTATTTAGACAAGAATATTCTCCCCCACCTCCCCCCCCCCCAACCTTTCTTTTTTTCAAATTCAGCATGGAATCTGCTCATCATGGCCTGTCGGCAGGGAAATTATAAAAATGAAAAGGGGAATCTCAAACCCAGTGATCTGTGCTGCATAAAACTACTACATATTATTCCAGAGAAGGATGAACTCGTTTAATTAGAGGGAAACTATAGGCCAGTAGCATAACCAACCGGTCTCTGCACAATGTTGAAACATCTGAAAGTAGTAAGGGCTTCAACTTTCCAGTTTAGAGAGAAATTTAGGTGTTAGATTGTTTTCCAGTTTAGAAACATCTGAAAGTAGTAAGGGCAGCAGGAGATCTTATTTTTAATTCTTGCTCCGTCATGTATCGAAAAAAATATTAAGCAATTAAAAGGCTTTGCTTGACACATCTCCTCAGTGCATGCAGAATGTAATTCACTATGCTGCTTTTATGTATTCATTAGTGTTTATATGGGATCATTGTATTGATACGCACGATTGGTTGGCCTGAGGAAATTATCTTATGCATTGTTGTGAAGTCAGTTTCGTTACCACCATGGGGAAATAAGCCACTTTTTTGCCCTTTCTCATTCAAACTGTAATGAATTCCAGGTTAATGGTAAGCAGCAATTGCATTTCAGGATAGGTTCATGAGTTCAAAAACATTACTACTGTATGCAACGGCCAAAGAATGGAAGAATGGAGATATTTTTCAAAGATACTGGCCCCCGTGAAATGGAAAACAAACCAAGGCTTATCCAAAGTGATATTCGTAGGCCAGAACAATCAGAAATATACGTTGTTATCATATGAAGATTATATTACACCGTTGTTTCAGGAGCTCATAATCATATATACTATTGTGTGCAACAATATAACAATGGAAGAATTGAAATCCTTTTCAATGATAATATCCTCCATTTATTACGCACAAAATTCCAGCTTATCCAACGTGATATTTGTTTATCTGAACTACTACTCGAATTTTTTTTTTAATCCCTAGATTTTTTATTTAACCCATCCATAATAATATGAATAAGACCTCAATTATTCTGTCTGATTTAACTTCAATTACTTTGTCTGATCTATAAAAGAACCTACAGCTATTCTAATTCCCTCACATCAACTTGGGACCCATGTTGGTTCTTTCCTTCGACTTGAGGGTTGAACTTGAGGGTTGAGCGACAGGTGAAGTCTGGCTCATTGACCGAGTGTTACCACAAGTTCAGGGTTTGGAGATTCCAACTCAAGTATAACCTGCGCGACAATTTACAAAAATAAGACTTCATACAAGAAAGACAGATGAATTTCAATAAAATACTCAATAATTAATTCGTAAAATAATTCTGGTCTCAAATGATTTAACCCGGGTGAACATCTCTATACTAAAGACAGATAATAGCTCATACCAGGGTATTACCCCCTTCCTTAAGGAGTGGAGCTGGACCGTAGAGGTTGCACTGAGGTCCTCTCAGCTATTAGAAAGACGTACACATATTAATACTTCAAGAGGAAAACAATCATAAATATAGAGAACAAACTATATTGGCCATGCAATCTAATCACAAACAAAATACACCCAAGAGATAAAAGAGAAGTTATTTTTACCGGCCACTATCTCCCTAAATTAAATTCATTAACAAATGCAATGCCTTTCCCCCAGTTGTTGAATGATAGGAATGTATCCTTGATGAGTTCTGATTTATCAATTGAGAAATGGCCAATATAGATAGCAGGTACAAGTGAAGTATTCTCTGCCAAAAGAATAGCCTTGGTTACAGATTTGATATTACAACCCTACGAAGGGAAGCTTGAGAAAAATGAATATCTTGGTGCTTACCAGACTTGTCTATTAACTTTTTGCGATGCATCAACATGTTACTGAATGTCAAAAAAGAAGCCTGTGTAATTGGATTGAAAGTTGGAAATTCATTCAGGTTGTGAAAAGGCATAGGGAGCATTTTCCACCCATGTAAAATTTCCCCATCAAGATAAACAGAAGACAGAATGCCCTGTATAGAAGTTGAGAATAAAGGTCAGCCAAGAAAAGAAAAAATCATCCAAGAACAATCAAAGTTTTAAATGCGCTATCTTCAAATAACCTTACCTTTCTATCAAAGATGAAAGGACCATAATTTACATGACCCATGTTTTCAACCTATTAAAGAGGGAAGAAAAACATTTAATTCGAGTTACACAAACGTCAAGGACAGTAGTTCACCCCAACCAAAAAAAAAAAGGTCAAGGGCAGTAAATACACTCTTTAAACATATGTCCTTGAAATGTTGATCTTTACAATGTTTTGCTTTCCGTAATCATACATAGAGAAATTAATATATATTCAAGAGACTGGGCTATAAAGTATAATATTTACTTGAGTGACTGCGCAAAGTTTGGGTGGGATCGGGTTTGACCTCATATGTTAAATGAGTTCATGCTTTAATGTTTTATCCATTAATTTACGAGAAATATAAATCAATGGTAGTTCATCCAATCCCAGTAATTATCTATTAATGGAAGGAAAATTCAAGCTTATGTTAAAGGTGTAAAGAACTATCATGATCCATCACCGCTTCCTTAATCCACGAAAGGGAGTTGACTCTGAAAGAATGAGAGGGTGTTGACTCTGAAAGAATGGATTCATATGCCAGCAAGTGAATTTGATTTAACCAAAAAAAAAAGGTCGTAAATTAAACTTAGAATATATAGCTAAAACCCCAGAATGTTTCCTTTGTACAAAAATAAAGTAAATAATCAAGAAAACGAGGTAGATACCAGTATATAAATTGATGTTAGAAAAACACTTAGTTTCAGGAAGGCTGAGGTTGTTATGCAGCTGTCTTTCCAAGGTACCGACATAAGTTGGCAGTGCACCACTTTCTTTGGAAGGACACGCAATAAATACTTGAGCACTGTCATGCACCTGCACATTCGCAATAAGCTTTACACAAGTATAGATAAGACATTCTGTAAACTATCTAACTATTGGGTAATCCATAAAAGAAGAGAACATGAAAAGGGATGCTTATGCAGCCTTTACCTGAGAACCAATATTGATTGCATTGTCTCTTAGTAATGAAAATAAAGACATAGCTAAAGAACAAGACTGAGAATTACTGAAAGAAGATAAACAGCACCTTAGGTATGAATAAATTGCTTCTGCCTCCTTTAGAAGCATATTTCGACATATATAACGTAAACCCGAACATCTGGATGCAAGGTAATTCAGTTACTATAATATACCTTTAACAATTGCATCATGATGAACAGCCATGACATACCCGGCCCAGAGACTCCATTGACAATGGGTTTTCAGCTCCAATCACATTGGTGGGATTGGCCAAATCAAACATATCAAACAAGAAAGCTTTTTTCTGTAAGTGAATTGGTCCATATCCCGCCTTTCCATTATCGAGGGAACTGATGGAAGAGGGGCTACACTATATTGAGCTATAACTTTCCGAAGAGCTGAAATGTATACAAGAAGCTCAAATTTAGTGTATTTTCTGAATGATGCCTTCGATAGCAAAATCTTTTTTTTGGGGGGGCAGGGATGGGCGGAGTGTTAGCAAATTATCATATTGAACCCGCACAAGAGTAGATACTCTTCTAATCCTATTTATAAATCATTTCTAATTTCACGCACCAAAAAAACTTCATTAATTTTGTCTTAAAATTTAACAATTTTCCGACCTTACCCTTACTTAATATATACATTTTCCAAGAAAATGACAACCTATAATACATTTGTGTTAAAAATTTAATTATAAAACTTATAAATAAGACAAAGAAAAACATTCTCTGGCTTATAAATAGAACCAAAGTACTAAGTTGTTATATTGCAAAGTTTCCCATAATCTAATTCATGATATTTCAGTTTCCTTCATTAGGTGCGATGTGGCTGATATGCATTTGCTCACAGTTATCGCACATTCACTGGATGATAATTACTAACAAACAGATAGCAAAATTAAAAGCATCAACATTCATTGACACAGTCTACCACATATTTGAACTACCAATTAATACCAAGTTCCACCATCAAGGGCTAATTGGATCTATGTAAAAGTACTAAGTAACAACGGAATTTTTCATGGTATCTGTAAGTCTTAAACTACATGGGGGAATGGGAGTCCTTTCTAATGCAACAGCATGTACCCCATTTAAATACCCTGAGTTGCGGATACATTACTATAGCTGGTAATCCAGAAATTCAGGTAGGATAGCCGGACATCGAGCCTATATTTGATTCAATAAATATTGCTCCCTTAGCATATTCTTTGGATTTGCATTTGGTATCCAATCACAAAAAGAATTGGCTTACCAATGAAAGTGCATAAATGATAGCCTGAAAATAAGTAGAAAACTAACATCCGCACCATTGAACTTTGCATTGTTTACATCTCCAGATTCCCTGATTGGTGCATCCTGGACAAGGTCGAGGCATATAAATCATAACATGCAGGGAAAAAAGGTCAATAGAATGCGAATCGATGGGCCCAAAAAATTCTGACATAATCATAAGAAGTGATGTCAGCCTTGTAGTCAGCCTCCTCTTGACCAGTGTTTGCTCCATTGTAGAATCCAAAGTTTGTCCCGCCATGTGCCATCAGAATTAAAACAGCCATGCCAAAATGTTTCATTTAAATGTCATATCCATAACAGCTAAAAGATGGAAGTGGAGACATACATAGAGAACTGCAGAACCATTCTTTTGCAAAAAATTTTCAAGGGCGGCTGCTGTAAAATCAGCATCAGTTGCAGCAATGCTCTCTCCCCAGTGCGTAAGCCATCCGGTATAGAATTCACTGATATGGTAAGCACCATAGTATTTTGCATCTAG